CGCCTCGCCGAGGCCTTCGCGAACGTCAAGGCGAAGCTCGTCGCGCTCAAGGCCGCGCGCGACGCGCGGGCGCTGCCGAAGATCCTGGAAGCGTTGGAAGCCCTGCGCGTCGAGGCGCCGTCGCCCGTCGTGGGCGACGCCGTCGCCGAGGCCGAGGAGCTCGTGGCCGTGTTGGAGCGGGAGCCCGAGCTCGAGGCCCGCCTCCGGGACGCCGCGGCCGCCGCGCGGCGCGCGGCCGCGGGCACGGCCGGCCACGCGGACGCGGAGCGGGCGCTCGAGGCGGCCGTCGGCGAGGCCGAGGCGTTCAACGGGACGCGCGGCGGCCGCGTGCCCCTCGCCGCCGTCGACGACGCCCGGGACGCCCTGGCGGCCGCGCGGCTCGCGGACGGCGCGCACGACGCGCTCGCCGCGGCGATCACGTCGCGCGACGGCGACGCGCTCGTCGCGGCGCTCGCGCGCGCGCAGGGCCTGGACCGCGAGCCCCTCGTCGACGAGGCGCGGGCGCTGCTCCGGGAGCTCGGGCGCGCGCGCGAGGCCGCCGCGCGGCTCGAGGGCGCGCTGTCGATCGCTGAGGCCTGTGTGGAAATCAACCACTGGTTTGGGGGGTCCCCACCAAACTTCAGAACTCTCTATCTCGGCCAAATCGAAGTCGATTCGGCTGATCTTTGGACGAATCGATTGCTCTCATCGGGTTCTTGAAGCACAGCTGAAGATTCCGGCGCAATCCGTTCAATTTTGCGCATATTGAAGTCGGGTTGAAGATTTGAATTCCACACAGGCCGAGGCGACGCGCGACGCGTCCGCGCTCGACGAGGCGCTCGCGGACGAGGACGTGAGGCGCTTCCTCGCCGAGGGCGAGCTCCACGACCACGCCCTGGCCGCCCGGGCGGCCATCGAGGGCGACGCCGCGGCGCTCGACGCGCTGCTCGCGGCGACGCAGTCCGGCGACCGCGGCGCCGTCGAGCGCGCGCTCGCGGCGAGCCGCGCGCGCCTCGAGGCCGCGGCGGGCAGCGACTTCGGCGCCGCGGCCGCCGACGCGCTCGCCGTCGCCGACGACGCGCTGCGGCGCTTCGCGGGCGACGACGCGACGGCCGCGGACCTCGAGCGGAAGACGGCCGCGGTCCTCGCCAGGGCAGGACAAGAGAGATTCAACGT